TAAATTTAACCTAAACTTTAATACTCAAGGTGAAATATTTATGAGTCCTAAGAGGAAAATAGAGAAGAACTCGCATGAAGGTTTCGAAACGAAACCAACGTCTCAAGTTTTGATTGTCTCTTCCAATTTCGGCGTCCTCTTTCTCTGATCCGGCCTCTTCTTTGTCAGCCTTCTCTTCTTCTCTCTTTCTGCCTCTCTTATTTTTCTAACGTGAAAAACCTTTTGATCAAAATAACCTTATTATATATAGACACATGTATACCCTAATCATATTCCTAGTCTGACTAGTGAATATAAAATATAATAATAATCTTAAATAATATATATGTACACATATATTATATAATATATATTTGTATATTACCTTCCATAATAATCATTAATTATTTAAATCATATATATATATATATATATATATATATATATATATATATATATACATTCCATAACAATTATTAAATAGTTGTATTTATATATATTTTTATAATTATGCAAAAATAGTCATTTAAATATCTTCATAATCATGAACCTTTATTAATTAACTCATAAGGCTTCATCCAAGCCCAAGACTACATCTATTGATCCAACTTCCCTTATGCCCAATCCAATTAACTTAAATAAATAAAATAATTAAATTAAATCAATTAATTACAAATAATTCATAATAAAATCACACAAGCATAAATACATATATAGTCAAATAAGCAACTCAATCATGATATTTTCATAAAGCAAACCATCATACCAAATCATCAAGTATAATACGAAATATAATTTAATTAAAATAAGATAATTAATCAAAACACCTAATTAAATAAAACAAATCATTAAAAATAAAATAAAAACAATTAATCCCAATTAAATCAAACAAATCATTTTAAATAAAATAAAAGTAATTATTCCCAATAAATAATTCCTTCAAAAATATCATTGTAATTGCCCTAGATTTAGCAATATTGAGATCTCGTCTTTGAAGTCGATATCAACCAACTCTAATTAACCAACAATATCGTTGAACACATTTAGATGCTCGTTGAACCTACCACCTTTAGCCATCTTCACGTTCAACACCTTTTTGATCAAGTTTACCTTGTTTGCTTCAGACGGATGTTCATACATACTAGAAAAGGGCCATGAGAGATCTCGTCATCTTCTCACTCTTGATGTTGAAGGCAACTAAGTTTGACAATGTTAATCTAATGGTGCAAAGAGTCTTCCTATCAAGTAGTTCCCAAACTACATCCTTTGTTTCCTTTGACTTCTCTCCTAAATGTTGATACAGATTCTTCTAAAATAAGAAATCCTCAATTGACATCTTCTAGAAATTGAAGTTTGTGCCATCGAACTTCTCGATCATGAATATGAATGTTTTTTCTCCTGATGCCATTACTCCCACTCGAACGAATAGGTCGGATACGAAAGACTTCACCGTAATTTCATCAAACACCTTATGTGCCTAAGGCTTTTAACCAAAGGTTCTGATACCAGTTGTTAGCAAGGAGACCAAATAACCGGATGCTCTGATACTAGTTGTTATAGTGGAAACCCAAAAAACAATGATGTCCAAGGAGTAAAACAAGCAATCATGAAGAATAAAATATAATCACACATAAGAATACAAGATATACATGGTTTACCCAAAAGTTAGGGCTATGTCCACAAAGTGCACTGAACAAATTCCAATATGAAAAAGATAATGGATTATAATGAGAATTCCTCTCAATATCTCTTAATTATTCTTTCTTATGTTGGTTCAAAACAATATACATAGTATCTCTATCATTCATTCACGTGAATCTCTCAATCACACCATTCCATGAACCTAAAGAACATAACTTTCCCTACAAGTGTTACCAAACCAACTTGAAAACAATTTTCACGACTGTAATGTTTCTGAATTTTTGCAATTATCCATTTTCTGGGAAAAAAAAAATTAAGGGTATTTTAGTCTTTTTTTCATTTTCCGTGTCGTGTGGGTCCCAGTGTTATTTTTCCATTACCATACATTTATCTATTTGTGAGTTAATGTATTAGATGTGTTTGTATATATATATATATATATAGATGTATGTATGTGTCATGTGGGTGGAGATGGATATTTCGTGGCAATGGTGTAGTTTTAGTGAGCTTTGAAAGGCATTAATGGTATTTGAGTTTGGGTGGACTTTTGACCCATTTTAAGCCATTCATTTTGAGAAGAAATTGGCCAACCTTAGACCACATTTTCATTTCCTCTCCCTCACTTTCGGCCACACTCTCTCCCTTATCCATTTCACTTTCTCTCTCTAAAATCTCAAGCTTCTCTCTAAGATTCGAGCTAGCTAAAGGAACATCTTGGTGGGGAGAAAGGAAGAAAGGTTGTTCTACTCTTCAATGTCTACATTTCTCTACTAGTCTTACATGTATTTAGGGATTTTCGAGCTTGGAAGCTAGGGGCTTTGGGTTGTATCTTTGAGGTAGGGATGTTTAAAGTACCATGCTTTATCTCTTGTTTGAGTTTCTTTTCTTGATTCCATGTTTTACTTGCTCTAAATGTTAAATTTTAAGTTGAAATAGTGTTATATGTTGAATAGAAAAAGCAAGTCTAAATGTGATGTTGATTATATGTGTAATTCAGTTGTTATGACATTAAAAACATGAAAATATTGATCGCTATAATGCTTGATTTCATTCATGGCATGAGCATGATTGGGGAATTATGGTTGAAATGTTTTTAAAAAGAAAGTGATTTGGGAATGGTTGGGAAAGTGATTTTATGAAAGGAACTGGGTTTCGTGAGCCCTGAGCTAATTCGACCTAGAAGGAGCGCGTGCCGGATTTAGACGTGTAACGTTGATTGCTAGGCCCCAAATAGTTGTCGGGTTTGGAACTAGAGATGGCTAATCAATCTCGCCTCGGTAAAGTTGGTTAGCGGTTTTCAGTGAGTTGGGCCTGGAATGGTAGTCGAGAAAGCATGACATCTCATAGCATGATGGTATGTTTGTGTTAATTGTGGTTTATTGGTATTCCAGTGCATAACCCTAATTTCTTTTAACTATTCTCTGTTTGTTGACTCAAGGGAGCCCAAAGTTAATGCTTTAGGCATCCCCTACTGAGACGTCATGCTCACCCCATATTTATCATTTTCAGGACATGGCAAGGATATTGTAGACGACGCACCTTCACAAGCTTAGGAGTGTAGAATGGATTTTTGATATTTTTGTAATAGACTAGTACGAACAATGATTTTGTAATGTAATTATATTCTTTTGTGAGCTTCAAGCGAAGCCTTTGTAATTATGGCCATGGAGGCCTCATCATCTTGTAAACATATTCTTTTGCACTTGTATAAATGTTTCAAAGATGTATGAATGATGATATTTGTAGATTTTATGAAACATCTAAGGGTTAATAATGTTTATGGAGTTTTAATTTCATGTTTAGGCGTTTAGGAATTGCATTTGATTGGGTTTTGAAAATAGGAATTTCGTTAGATTCATCTGTGGGCATCATCTAATCTGTTAGATAGGAACACCTAACTGGTTAGATGAATGGACAGTGTGTTGGTTTGATGGGTTTTTCCCATCTAACCAGTTAGAAGGGTTTTCCTAACCAGTTAAATAGGAATTTGGGTGTTCTACTACCCGGTTAGGAGTTTCTTATACTTGGTTAGATGTATGGGGCAGAGAAGGGGTTAGATAATTTTCATTATCTAACTGGTTAGATAGAGTTTCCTAATCGGTTAGACATGATTTTTTTTACAATTTTTCCCCGAGCCATTCATGTAACCGGTTAGAAGAAATCTCCTAACCGGTTAGATGTGATCTGAAAACTTATAAGCTTACTAGACCATTCATCTACCCTGTTAGGAGAAATCTTCTAACCGGTTAGATGAACTAACATTTTCACAAGGACTTCATATTTCAATATAATTACCCAATGACCCCCAGTTAAAGTGCAAAAATGACCCTAGAAAATGATAAAATTACCCCTGAAGGGTGTGAATGTTGTATTTTGACCAGAAAATGACTATTTTGCCCCCAAGGGCTTTTATATCACCATTTGAATACAGTAAAAGTCCATTTTATCCTTTTGGGCTTAATATTATTATTTGACCATGCAAAAAGACCATTATACCATTATGAACTCTAGGAGTGTTAGAAAGATGTGGCATGGCTACAAGGCCTCCGGACCTCATTTAATTCATAGAATGACTCTAGTAAATGACGGCTTTACCCTTAGTGGACCTTAAATCATTAAGATTAATGTAGAATGACCATAGTACCCCTATGTCACCTCGGGTCTGGGTAAGGACCCGGTTAGCAATTCGGACTCTTGATTTTAGGTCGTTACAAATTTCGTATCAGAGCAATAGTTCTAAAACCATTAGGACGACGGGTAGAGGCCTACCTAGGGTTGTGTGAGTCATTTGCATTGTGTATGTGATTATTTGCTAAGCGTTTTGTTATTTTAAAAGCATACTTAACTATCTACTTGCCTAGTTGCTTATGTGAATATATGCTAAGTGCTTAAAGTAGTTGTATATTATTAGCATGATCATGCTCATCATTGGTTGGGGTTTTTCCTGGAGTATGGAAAGTGTTTAAGTATTATCATTTTCTGTTGAGTCGTTCATGTGAAGACTCCGTTCTCGTATGTATCAGTGTCATTGTTTTTAATCCATCCTCTAGTTTTATAGCGTTATGCCACTACGAAAGGATCTAGGGGAGAGTTCTAGCTCCAATCCCATGGAAAGGGATCGGGAGCAGGTTGAGGAGGATATCTTGTTGTGTGATTTGATCCCACCAAGAGGGGGACACGCGAGGGGGATCGTTGACCCACCTCTTTATATAAGTGAGGAGTAGTTAAAGTTGGTCGTACAGGCAGTCTTGCATGACGTGTTTCGGCAGATGTGGGCATCATCGTCATAAGTTGTGCCACCACTAGCACCACCACCACCACCTCCAAAGAAAAGTGAGTCAGACGATACTCTTTATCACATTGCTAAGTTTGTGAAGTTGATGCCGACTCTGTTTAAGGGTAACCCATATTTGCTCGTTGCAGACAGTTTTATGGATAGGGTGGAGAAGCAACTTAATGCTATGAATTTGGCGACGGACAAGTTGAAGATCACTTTGGCAACTTATAACTTTGTTGGGGACGCTGAGATTTGGTGGAAGACCATTTCTCATACTCATAATTTGGATACAATAACTTATGCTGCATTTAAGAAGCTGTACTACGAGAAGTACTTTCCGGCACCTAAGGAGAAAGAACTAAAGAAGGAGTTCGATGGGTTAAAGCAAGGAAACATGACAGTTACAGAATACGAGAACAAGTTCATATCACTTTTGAGGTTTGCACCAAGACTTGCTGAGGATGAGGAAGGAAAGATAGAGAAATTTGTTGATGGCTTTGATTTCACCATTAAGCCATTTGTAGCTACTGCAGAGCCGACAGAATATGCAAAGGCAGTGTAGAGGCTGAGAATAAGGACAAGAAACCCATTAAGGAGTCCTACAAGCTTAACAGGAGAATGGGTGCTACTTCTGAGGGCTAATCACAGAAAAAAAAAAAAAAAAAAAAAAAAAAAGAATGAACCACCAGGGTCTAAGGGACAGTAGTCAGTCAGATCTATACCCACAGCAATAGTTTCTATGGGGTCTTCTAGGCTAGATGTCATGTTTTTCAAGTGCAGGTAGCCCGGGCATTACAAGTTGCAGTGCCCACAGATTCAGATGGCCATGGGAGGATGTTTTGGGTGTGGCCAGCAGGGCCACTAGGTGAAAGACTACCCACAGCAGAGCACAGGCTCAGGTAGGGGTGGAGGTTCACAGTAGAGGCAGACACAATCCGCTACAGTTCAGTCAAGATTTTTACTGCCACCACCACCTCAGTCATCCCAGCCAGCTATGTCAGCCCAGGGTTCTCTATCGGGCAGAGGGACTTCTTCAAGTACAACCACTCAGCAGTATGGTTATCAAGCAGGCAGTTCTCAGTTCTCAGGGGCAGAGGACTAAGGGTCGTGTGTTTGTGCTCACTCCAACCGAGCCATCATCCAATCCTTGAGTTGTTAGGGGTATGGTTCTTGTGTTTCATTCTTGGGCCCGTGTATTGTTTAATTCTGGTGCCTCTTATTCCTTCATTGCTTCTTTATTCACACGTGCATTAAGTTTGGAAGTCAGTCAGTTAGACAAACCGCTTTGTGGTGACACGCCTGTTTGGGGTTTAGTCACTCTTGGTAGAGTTTGTAGGAGTTATTCTATCACCATTGTCAGGCGAGTGCTAGAGTTCGATCTCATCCTTCTCAAGACGACAGGGTTTGATGTCATTCTTAGGATGGACTGGTTATCATCTTTTAGAGCCGTCATTGATTGTTTCAGGGATAGGGTGTCAATGTGTACCCCGAATGGGGATTGTTTCTGTTTTGTGGGAGATTGGTGTGATTCTCTCACTCCTTCAGTTTACGGTGTTAATGGTCGAGATCAACAATGGTTCTTTTTGGCTAGCCTTTTCGCTAATAATGATGTTAAGTTTCGCGGGGTCGATTATCCAGTGATTGCATGCGATTTTCTGGATGCGTTTCTAGAGGACATGACAGAGTTACCTCCACATCGAGAGGTGAAGTTTGCTATTGATTTGTTTCCTGGTACCACACCAATTTCTATGGCACTGTATCGTATGACACCAATTGAATTAGAAGAATTGAAGAAGTAGCTTGATGATTTGAGGGTGAAAGGTTTCATTTGACCGAGTGTGTCACCGTGGGGTGCACCGATCTTATTCACTAAGAAGAAGGATGGTTCTTTGAGGTTATGCATTGATTACCAGAAGTTGAATCATGCCACCATTAAGAATAAGTATCCACTGCCATGGATAGATGATTTGTTTAACCAATTGAAAGGAGCCAGTTATTTTTTAAAGATTGACTTGAGGTTAGGTTATTATCAGTTATGTGTTAGGGATGAGGATATTCCAAAGACCACTTTCCGTACGCGGTATGCACACTATGAATTCCTTGTTATGCCTTTCGTCCTAACTAATGCACCAGCGGCATTCATGGACCTAATGTATCGTGTCTTTCACGATTACCTGGACCAGTTTACGGTAATTTTTATGGATGACATACTTATGTATTCACAGACTCGGGAGGAACACGAGGTCCATTTGAGGATAGTATTGCAGATTCTGTGGGAGCACCACTTCTAAGCCAAATATGAGAAATGTGAATTTTGGCTACAAGAGGTTAAGTTTTTGGCACATGTTGTCTTAGAAAGTGTCACTTTCTTCGATTTATTCAAATCAAAATACATCAGTATTAGACCCAAGATCTCAAAAGAAATATCATTTTATTGATACAATATCAATTTCCTCAAATAGAAATACAACATCTCTAAAATAAATTAAATTAAATCCTCAACACCAACTCTTCCACCTAAGCTTGTAACTAGCAATCCACGGTACCTGAAACTGGAAGGGGGTGAGACGGGGGAAGTCCCAATAGGAAAAACCATAACAAAGATTTCAAGGAGTTTCATGCAAAATTAACTTCACAAAAATATACATATACATTTAAATAAAATACATTTATGCAATTTTAACAAAATAACAGTTAATAAAATATTTGACACAAAACCATCCAGGCCATTCAAGGTATGAAGAACCCTACATTGAAAGTGAAAATATCACTGAATCATGAATCATCAAGCCTCAACTCTCGGGTCTCGGCCTCTGTGAAATCTTAGAGCTCTCTGTTTGCACTTAAACTCTCTGTGCTTCCTTAATTTTTCTCTTCTCTGAATCATTTACCCAAGTCACAAAGTACACAATATAAAGACATTTGTATCGACACTATACAAAAATATTAACCAAAAGACAATGGACGCCACCACCCACTTTTTCATTCTTGCTTTTTCCTTATCTTTACATTCATCTGAACCTACCAACTAAATATCTCTCCAAAACTTTAGCCACGCACACACTAAGGAATTTTGACCACAAATATCTAGTGGGACCTGCCGTACATGATTACAATTCCTTCCTCTTTCTTTCCAATTCGGCTGGGTGCAGTCCTTCAGCGGACATCTCAAATGAAAATATATACATACATAATATATATATATTCAACGTAACAAATCAAGACCTATAATATCTCTTTTAGTGGGACTTCCAAGAAAAGCACTTTTCTTTACCTTTCCTTTCCTATGGCTTGCTCCTTGTTTTGCAACAGATTCTATATTGTATATATATAAATAATATATACTAATGCAATAAAAACCAAATCAACTCCTTAACATATCAAGTCGGACCCGCACCAAACAAATACAATTTGTTTTTCCTTTCCCTCAATCTCGCTAGCAGCATGTTTGTTGCCTATATATATATTATATACAACAATTGAAAAGCAAACTCATTAAATCATTAGGTGGGACCCGCGCAATACCACTTTTTCATCTCCATTTCTATCTTCAATTTCATTCCTCAATCTCTTTAATTGATTTCGGCAGCAACCCCAATCCCTCAGATGCAAAATAAATATATATGTAAATATCATCAATATATATCTATATGCAACAAAAATCAAATCTATTAAATAATTCAGTTTGGTAAGTCTCTAATTAAAATTAAAGATTCAATCTTCAATTGGAAAGTATCCAATGACACAAAATAATAATTAAATAAATATAATTAAAACTCTATTAAATCCGGGTTGTCACATTCTCCACCACTTAAAAAGAATTTCGTCCCGAAATTCAAATCCAACAATATTTGCATCCCAAAAGCATCAAAAGTGGCAAAACACAATCCAAAAATCCTTACCCTAGGCGATGTGAAATACTATGACATGTGAAATGTTGTGGTAGCTGACAGTGCTAGTTACCAGCCTACACACTCCGTAACCATTATGGTAGCTAGTCGATGCCGTCACCAGCCTACAAAAACAAGACCAATAATAAACCAGGACAATACATACCGAAACATAATTATTGACCATCCCAGTAGCTGTCAATGAACGACACCTGCCCACAACACCAGGCTACTAGTGGTAGCTCGTCAGAACTAAACACTCGCTCACTCACACCCGTCAAATACATCATCACTACACTCACACTTCCGACTGGTACAGGCTCTGATACCACTCTGTCACGCCCCAGATTTTTCTAAATAATTTCTTCGATTTATTCAAATTAAAATACATCAATATTAGACCCATATCTCAAAAGAAATATCATTTTATTGATACAATATCAATTTCCTCAAAAAAAAATATAACATCTCTAAAATAAATTAAATTAAATCATCAACACTAACTCTTCCACCTAAGCCTGCAACTAGTAATCCACGGTACCTGAAACTGGAAGGGGGTGAGACGGGGGAAGTCCCGGTATGAAAAACCATAACAAGGATTTCAAGAAGTTTCATGCAAAATTAACTTCACAAAAATATACATATACATTTAAACAAAATACATATATGCAATTTTAACAAAATAATAGTTAACAAAATATTTGAAACAAAATCATCTAGGCCATTCAAGGTATGAAGAACCCTGCACTGAAAGTGAAAATATCATTGAATCATGAATCATCAAGCCTTAACTCTCTAGTCTCGGCCTCTGTGAAATCTCGGAGCTCTTTGTTTCCACTTAAACTCTTTGTGCTTCCTCAAATTTTCTCTTCTCTGAATCATTTACCCAAGTCACAAAGTACACAATATAAAGACATTTGAACCGACTGTAACAACCCGGTCATTTGCCTTCCTTTCCTTTTTCCTGAAATTTTACGAATGAATTTTTTTCGTTTAATTTTCCTTTCTGAGCTCTGTTTCGTGTCACTTAGTGTCATCTCGAGTGCTCGGAATTGGTTTCTGAGACTCTTTCATGTGAATTGACAACTTCCTTTGAGGACCGAGTCATTTTCACATTTTTCGTTTTTCGATACTATGCGCTATTTCGTCCTTTTCCCTATGTCATCTTATCTCCGTTTGTCAGTTTTTGGCACAACCTCACTTTTCAAGCTCAGAGTTGGTTTTTGACTTCACGTGCCTTCATCTTGAGTGGTTTCCACAAAATACGTATCTTTACTTTTGCAAGAAAGTACTCTGGTTGTTCCCGGTGTCCATAGGGGGCATGGATTCAAAGTTCTTTGAAATTATTTTCTTTTCTTGGGGTGTTTTTCGTAAATATCTTTTGAAGATATTTTATTTCATGGGTTTTTAAGAAAATATTTTTGGAAGATATTTTCATTATGGGCCATAAGTTCAGTTTTCACTTTTTGGAGGGGCCATTGTGTAATTAATGAAAGTTATTGCAAAATGTATTTTTTTGAAACTGGATCCTCATATGGGATTCATTTTCACATTTTGTTGAGTTGTGTACTCTTGGAATTTCCTCCTGGTCGATGTTTTCCGGTTTCAGGGTTTCTGGCCCCAATTTTCGCCAAACTTGTTTTGGGCAAAACTTTCTGGTCGGGACTCGGTTTTTGACGCCGTTTCTTCCGTTGTCCATATTTTATAATTTTGAATCTTTTTCGTACACAAAGTTTTGCCGTTTAAGCACGTCTGCTCAAATTTTACTTTTTCTGACCCGGCGGGGCCCATACGGGGCACTTTTTGAGATTTCTATAAAAGGGGGGTGAGATATTTCATTTTTGATCTTCTCCCTTCTTCATGCACGACCTGGAGATCCCATGGTAGCCCAAGGGGTGCTGCCATCTTCTCTCTCCTCTTTTGGTTCACTTTTCCTTGATGGAAAGTCTTCGGCCTTAACGTTTGTTGTTCCCCTCGCCGTGCTCTACCTTTCCCCCTTATTAGAATTTAGTTTTGACCATTTCTTGAGTTTGGTTTTGAGGTCAAGTTATGATTTTGATGGGGCTTTCATGGGGGTTATGTTCACGGCGTTGTCCCCGACAAAACCTAGTAGTTTCGTCGGATTCGGAGCCGTTCCATTTTGATGGCATTTGAGATTTTCATCTCAAATTGAGGTAGGAGATGTTCTAGGTTTAAATTCTTGTTATATATCATGCTTGTGATGCTTATACTATTTATTTGCATTATTAAATATAAAATCTAGAGATTTTATTATTTATTTTTCTTGTACGGGATCTAATTTTCCCGGTTGCTCATGACTTGGTTTAAACATGTAGCATGATTTTATATTGCCCCTTGATATGCTCATTGTCGTGTATTAAAATTGGAACATTTGAATAAGTATTAAAGATTTTATTTAATATTTATCTTAGGTGAAAGATTAATTCACATGGCCTTAACTAGCTTAAGATCAATATGTGTTAGCATACTAAATTAGGCCTTAGCATGCTCGTCAACATAGTTGAATTTGAAAGTGATTGGAGGTGTTTTGAAAATTAGTAATTATTAATTAATTTGATTAATTAATTTACCCCGAGTGCACTATTCACTCTATTTGAATTCCGACTTGATATTCTTGATTTACATGCCATATAGTTTCACATATAATTGATTTAGAATATTCGGTTAGGTTTTGAAACCTTTTATTTAATTAAATTCCATGATTAAGATTTAATCCTCATGGTGATATACAACTTGGGATTGTATTGTGGCATGCTAGAAAATTAAGCTTAGGTATAGTTGTTCACATATATTAAATTGGGATTAATTGCATGAGAATTGCAACTTTTAATTTATATTTAACTTTAGTGAAAGGTTAAGTCACATGATCTTAAATTGAATGAAATAAA